CCATGAGAGACTACGGACTCTGAGGAACAAACTGAGGGTTTTAGAGGGGAGGGGGTAGGGGAATGGGTTAGCCCAGTGATGGGTACTAAGGAGGGCACGTACTGAATGGAGCACTGGGTGTTATACGCAAACAAGGAATCATGGAACACTACATCAAAAACTAATGATGTAACGTATGGTGACTAACATAATAAAAAAATAAAAAAAAAAATCACTGGCCCAGAAAGCTCAAATAGGGGGAATATTAGACACCCACTAGGTAAGCCGACCCAAACCATGTTCTTCATCAATGATAAAAATGGTATTTCAATCTTAGAGAAAGAACAAACCAACCAACCACTGGTTCAGACTTAACTGGAATCATGGAAACAAGTAGTATGTAGAAAAGACAGTAAGAACTGAACCTTCTGAAACGCTCAAAGAAGAGAGGTAAAAGTAAGCCAAGAGACGGTCACTTAGGCCAAAACCTTAGAAGTCATCCTTCATTATCAGCTCTCTCTTGCTCTCTCCTCCACTCCATCACCAACCCCCCATCTACTAACTCTTTCTTCTGGATCACTCAAACTCAACCCCTCACTGTCAACATCTGATTTTAGGCCCTTGTTCTAGGACGTGGATTCCTGCAAAAGCCTTGCAATTATCTTGTTCCACTCTCCACACTGCTACCAGAGTAATAACTAAAAATACTAATATAATCACACTGCTGAGTTGCTTAACTCCTTTAATGGCTCCCCAGTCTTCAGGTATATAAGGCCCTTTAAGACAGGGCCTCTATTTACATCTCTAGATCTTTTCCTCATTCTAGCCCTGATTTCCAAACACAACTCCTACTGCATTTCTCATGAACTATTATCACTGAGCAATCTCTATCAGAAACACCTGGGATGCACTCATTAAAAAGCTACATTCTGGGCCCCAAAATAGACCCACTGAACAATAATCACCTCTAGGGATGGGACTAAGGAATCACACCAAGTAATAACCCAGTACCCATTTCTTCACTCTCTTACCTGATAATGCCTAATTGTTTTAAAACATTCAACACAGTTTGCATATCATTTCTAACAAGACTTCCCTATAATCCTCATCTTCCCTACTCCCCAACCCAATGGTTCCGAAGCACCCACTGCTTACCTCTACAGTAATCCCCCCCCTTACCCACAGGTAATACCTTCCAAAGACCCCCAAGTAGATGCCTGAAACTGCAGAGTACTAAACCATGGGTATACTATGTCTTTTCCCTATACATACGTACATACATACATATCATAAAGTTTAATTTATAAATTAGGCACAGTTAAGAGATTAATAACTAAAAATAGAACTATAACAATATACTGTCATCAAAGTTACATGAAGTGATTTCTCTCTCTCAAAACATATTATACTGAATTCACCCTTCTCGTGATGATGCGAGATAATAAATGCCTACGTGATGAGATGGGAGGTAATGACACAGGCACTGTGACACAGTGTTAGGCTACTGCTGACCTTCTGACAATATGTCAGAAGAATCATCTGCTTCTAGGCCATGGTTGACCATGGGTAACTGAAACCACCAAAAGTGAAATGGGGATAAGGCAGGACTACCATATTGTAATGGAGTATTTACTTGTCAGCTTCTAGCCTCTGCCTCATCCCCCCCTCGAAAAGGTGCTCACTTACAGACAGGGAGCCAGTTTAGCCAATGTACCATCGCCCAGCACATAGCCTTACACATATTAGGCACTTAAAGTCTGCTAATTAATGAATGCAAAGTTTCATTTTGTTTTCAAAAAATGAAAAGATACCTTCATCTGCATCTGCTGAGTCTCTTGATAACTAACATGCATTTTGTTTTGAAATACATTATGTTCCTTTTCTAATGTTCCAATCCGATCTTTCATCCTTGCTATAACCACATTGCTTCTTTCTTTCTCTGACATCATTTCCTAGAAGAATAAACCAGAAAAAAAAATTATGAAAACCTACTAAAAAAAAATAAGTACCATAAGATTATAATAAAAAAACATTTTTAGCATCAGTAAAAATGATATAAGACAATCATGAATTCTGAAATAAGTACATGCTTGAGGTCAAAGGTTTAAAAAAGAAATTGTCTCTGCATCTTACCTGCATCCACCTGTACCAATTACTTTCATAAACACTTTGCTGTTCTCTTTATTCTTATTCCAAATGCACTTTCTGGTCTGAGTTAAAGAGCTGAACCTAGAATAAATCCTACAGTCTAACTTGAGTATAAGAAAGAATAGTTTTAAGGCAAAACAATTAGTTTTCTATTATTTGCAGGTACTAGCTTTTAGGGTTTAGAAAAGGCCTAAAAAAATAACCCAGCAGAGAAAAAAAGAAGTCTCTTCCCTGAGAGAAAAGAAAAAGACATGTTCATAGCAGAATGGAAGATTGGAATAAGGGAAAGTAAAAAATCAGAACTCCAAGTTTTATTATCTTCCCAAGTCAAATCTTAAAAGGGTGATTTCATTTTATATTGCAACTATCACGAACTCCTAGAGCAAATATTATCGAAGAGAGCCAACCAACTTTAAAGTTATCTGCAGGCATGATCAGTTTATACCCCCTCATCTAAGACACAAAAAACTTAAAACTTTTTTTTTTAAGTGAGTATATGCACACATGCGGGGGCTGGGGGGTGGGAATGGGACAGAGCAAGAGGGAGAAAGAGAATCTTAAGTAGGCTCCACGTCCAGCGTGGGACACAACACTCAATCTCACAACTCTGAGATCATGACCTGAGCCAAAATCAAGAGTTGGATGCTTAACTGAATGAGCCACCGAGGCACCCTCAAAATTTATAACTTTTATGTACTTGATGGTTTCCTCCCAGAAGAGTTTACGTCCATCTGCAAAGTGTTATACTGATGTATATAATACACTTAGGAAGAAGTACACACATCTTAAGTATATAGCTCAATGAATTACTATGAAGTGGATACCTTTTTAATTTTTAAAATTATAGTCAGAAAACGACAGCCACATAAAACTACACTGAAGTGTGTAATCGTAAGGCAACATGCTTATTTTAGTAACAACTTTGATTAATCTTAATCTGACCAAGTTTTTCCATTAACTTTTATTTACTTCAAATTCACATAAAAGGTTTTATATTCAAATGAGGCCATCCTCATAATGTCATCAAGTAGCTTCATGAATGATAAAAAACCTTTTACTGTATTTAATTCCTAAAAGGAGAAACAGTACCCCAAGAAGAATAAGACCATATTTTCCATAGAATTTCAATTACGTTCTCAGTCTACATAATTTTTTTGGAGATATAATTGACATAGAACATTATATAAGTTTAAGGTATACAACATGGCTCGATATTTATATATATTGCAAAATGATCACCATAATAAGTCTAGTTAACATCACCACTATAGTTACAATTTTTTTTTCTCATGATGAGAACTTTTAAGATATACTTTCTTAGCAACTTTCAAATATATAACACAGTATTACTAACTATAGTTACCAGGCTGTACATTATATCCCCAGGACTGATTTATTTTCTAATTAGAAATTTTTATCATTTAACATGATTTTTACATAATTTTTTAAAGGTTTTTTGTTTGTTTTTACCTCTCAGAGTAAAATTTCCGGGGTCTGAAAAACTTCATTGATTAAAAATTATAAATATCACAAGACCCTTTATAAATAAAATTACCTATTAAGAGTTCCACATTTATCTTATTGGATTTAAACAAGATCACACCTAGTTCTGTGCTTCCTTAGAGACTAATTCTAGGTCAGATCCAAGTGAAACATGCCCCCAATGCCCAAATGCTTCTGTTATTTGAAATTAATATATTTAGGAGCACTGTTATTTTAAATTCAACTGTAATTCAATTGTAGGCTATAACATGAAAAAGTGAGACACCACCACCACAATTCTGTAAGTGACTTTTACTGGGTATAAATTTGCTATACAAATAATTAAATCTATAATTACAGACAATTTCTGAAATCCTTCACTGCTTCTGATTCAGAACATATATCCCTTAAATACAAGAATGTCTTCACCTGAGTTAACTGCTTACACCGATCCTTAATAGCAGCAGCATCTTCCTTCACAGCAGCAAGTAACTTGTCTTTTTCTTGAAGCTGATGTACAACTGCAGTCAATTCTCCTTTACTTGACTACAATTGGGAAATCAATACAGAATTAGTAAGAGTTAACATGAGCTAATGAAAATTATGAAAATGAAATATCTAATATCAAGTGTTCTTACCAATGCAGAGTTCACAATTATATATAAAGTAGAATCATGGCCAAGTACTAGTCAGTGAAATATCATTCATGAAAGTCACTGTATCATTCTATATTCTGATGCATACAATAGGACACATATCAACCAATAAATAAATTTTTTACAAAGAATTCTAAGACTCCAGTTTTAAACCCAGAGTCAAGATAGCAATCTCCTCCTCCTCCTCCTAAAAAGATCAAAAGAGGAATATGAAGCCAAAATGCAAACAACCAAAATGAAACAATCATCTGTAATATCAAAACATAACATCAGAAAAGACTGCCAAAAGTAGTGGAGATCAAATACAAGTGCTTGACAACCCTGTCAAAATATACTAGACTACAGAAGCACCCCAGTGCCTAGTTCTCTGAAATTAACCGGCATATCCTGAAAGGAAAATCCAACAATCTTCCACTTGACATCAGGAACAAAGAAGGTAGGAATCTTCTTGGAAGGAAAGCTCAAGAAGCAAGAAAGAAGAAATCATACAAACTTTACAAAGAGAGCAGCTAGTTAGGAAGAGTCGAGAGAAATTCTCTATAGTGAGACTCCATAGTGAAGTCTTTTTTTTTTTTTTAAGATTTTATTTATTTATTTGGCAGAGAGAGAGAGAGAGAGAGCGAGAGAGCACAAGCAAGGGAAGCAGCAGAGGGAGAGGGAGAAGCAGAGTCCCCACTGAGCAGGGAGCCCGATGCAGGACTTGATCCCAGGACCCTGGGATCATGACCTGAGTCGAAGGCAGGCATTTAACCGACTGAGCCACCCAGGTGCCCCATATGAGTGAAGTCTTTTATCTGGGAAGATGGAAAGGCTAAAAGAACTTCTCACACACAGCTTGAGGAAAACAGCAGTTAGCCTTGGTCCTTTCATTATCAATCTCCAGGCACAGAGTTGATCTAAGAGGAACACCCTCGCTAAAAGAGTGCTGATTAAAGAGAAAACAGGGTCGTGGTGCCTAGGTGGCTCAGTCGGGTAAGCGTCTGTCTTTAGCTCAGGTCATGATCCCAGGGTCCGGGGATCCAGCCCCACACTGGGCTCCCTGCTCAGCAGGGGGCCTGCTTCTCCCTCTGAACTCTCTGTCAAATAAATAAATAAAATCTTTGGGGAAAAAAAAAAGAAAACAGGGTCTATGCAAGACACATGAAAAAAGGAAGGAAAATAACAAAAATAAATGACAAGTGAAGAAAAAATCACCAAAAAAGGATTGTAAAACAACAGACAAAACTGTGTTAAAAAATATCGCCATGATTTTTAAAAATCTTACAGCAGTCATTTCTGGAAAAACAAGAGCAAAGAACAGAGCTCACGAGAAAAGATAAGCTCAAAGAAAAGACCAGAGAAGGAGATGAAATATGAGCTGGCAAAACCCGAAGTGGAAGTAAAAGTAACACCACCTCAGAAATACAATCCAGTTAGAAGCAGAGAACAGAAAAAGACACACTGCTGAACTACAGTAAGAGACAGAGAGTCCAGGATGGAGAAAAGTAATTAAGAAAGAGAAATAAACCAAAAGCTTTTTTTTTTTTTTTAGGATTAAAATGTGAAAGATAAAGACAATAGGCAAATATTTAGTATATGTGTAATCGATACCCATTATTTCAATTATGCTAAAGGACAAATCTCATGATTGAAAAGACATGCTTTATCCAAAGAAATACTGAGGGAGGACACAGGAGTCAAGGCCAAAACCATATTAAATTTACTGAACTTAAAAGAAGCTGAATCCCTTGATGTTTGTACAGTAGGGTGGACACTGGAAAAGTCCAATAAATAATAAATACTTGGGTAGATTGCCCAAAAGAGGTTTTTATTCTGAGAGTATAGTCTGACAAAAATACATGAGAAGAGTGCAAAATTCAGTATGGTCTCAGACCTCTATCCAGCTATATGAGTAGGGAATGGTAAAGCAAGCATGAAAAATTCTCAAGAAAGTGAAACCCAGAAATATTATACCCCACCAAATTATCATTCAAATATAATAACAAAAAAGCATTTTAAGGAAATATAGTTCCTATGAGCCCTTCTTGAAGAAATTCCAGGAAAAATAACTTTAGCCAACCAAGAGATGAATACAGAGACTATGGCAAAAGAACGGTTATCAAGCTTTAAACCCACCATTAACCCGTAAAATTATGACTAAAACAAACATGGAAATTAGTCACAAAATATTAAATATTCTAAGTATCTGATAAACAAATGCTATAATTAACAAAAGCTGAGAGGCAAAAAGGAGAAAGTGGAGGAAAAAATTTAAGTAGGCAGACTTCCTCTTGTTATATAGCATAGTCAAGAGTTAATAAAGTTGAAAAAAAATCATATAATTGAGGCAAGTGTATTTAAAGGCCAACACTAAGAGATTAATAATCAACTAAAATATCAAATATATTCTTACTAATAATTACATTAACAGTTAACATTTTTGAGCAATTACTCTATGCTAGGAACTCTGAGCACCTACTGTATATTATTTCATTTAACTTTCAAAACCTGATTATCATTACCATCTGGGAAATAAGGAAACTGAGGCACTGGGGTTAAGTCACTTACCTAAGGCCAAATAAATCTCAATGTGGCAGAACTCAGATTTGAATCCAGGAAATCTGACTCTAGAACCCACAAATGGCTCGTAGTTTAAAGATAAAGGCACATGCGTGCACACATGCACACAACATAAAATCTCCTCTTCAACTACGCAACTCCTTTAGCGTTTATTCTCCTCTTCCCATCTAAGGTTATTCAAACTGGACACACGGTCACCTTTCCTATTTATTCAATACTTACTTACAGTCCAATACTCCAATGAAACTGCTTTCACTGGGGATATCAAATCCAATTTTTCCATCCTAATCCTCCTTAATCTCTCTAAAGCATGTCATTATTGCCTTTTCCCCTCACCCCTGAACTCTCTACCCTCCTTAAGCATCTGTGATTCCACTGTCTCCTGGTGTTGCTCCTCCTCTTCAGTATCCTTTTGTGGTGGCTTTCCCCGCCCTTTAAATGTTGGTGTTTCTCAGGGCTCATTCTTGAACTTTCTTAGCACTCCCCACATCCTCTCTGGTCTAATACACATTTACCATGTGTATTGGTGATAGCAGATTACTTTCCTAAGTCACACCCTAAGTGATCTTTTTTCAACTCCAGAGAAACATATATTCGACTGTGAAATGAATATACCCACTTAAATGATCCAAAGGATGCCTAAAACAACCTCCTAAAAATTTTCACAATCCTCTACTCTCTCCTCCTCAGCAAAGTGTTCATAAATACCGCTGTCACCACAATCTGTCCAGTTACTCAAGAGCAAAAACAAGCATTCATTCTAGACTCTTCTTCAGCTACCGTATCTAACTGGTCAGCAAGTCCTCTAACTCCTGTATCTCCATCCTATGTTGGAGCTCCTGCACTTATCTTCACCCTTACCTGGAGCAATCTTTATTAGGTGTGGGGATTTATTTATACCTGGAACCTTGCCATCTATTAAAAGGTCTGACCAAGACAGTTTCTATGACAGGAAAAGGGGAAACTAAACTTGCTTTTGCAGATACAGAGGACCTACCAAAGATACTGAGTCCCTGCAGATGAGAACAGAACGACTCCATGAGAAACCCAGAACAATAAAATTTTAAAAGAAAGCCCAGTTCCAAAGATGGAGAAAAATGTGAAGTTGCAAAATACTCTATTTCAAAACACTATCTTTAAGAGTACCCGACTTCCTCCTTGGCCTGCCTAAAACAGCTGTCAAGGGGAGGTTCATTTACCACCTAGTCTCTAGAGTTCAAAGCTATCCCTCAGACAATAAAATAATTACTCTTGCCCGCATAAATCACCACCAACATCCTCAGATGAGGACACTTAAAGCAATTATTTTCAATTTTAAAAAGCAGTAATTTCAAATATCAGGCATAGTAACTTCAACTGGAGGCTTTTCCCTTATCCCCACAAATAACTAAGAACACTTTTAAGATACACACTTACCCAATTAAAGTAAACCAAAGTGCAAATTCTTCAATTAAGAATTTCAAGAAAGCTTTTTGCAACAGAATAATCTGATTTTGTATCCAAAGTCACATGCAGTTACAACACGTACCCTGATTAACCCTGGAATACCTTGTTTACTCTGGGCCATTGCTGGCACCATGTAGAGACCGTCCAACAAGCATACTACATTATAAAATGCCAGAGTGGTAAAACACATTGTCAATAGATCCTCGGAAGTATAGACAGACTTAATATGCTATGATAAATGCTATGACAAGAAAGTCCACATAGTTAGGAGAAAGAATAGCAGATGAACAATTTAGACTGGGAATTCAATTAGCCTTATATGAGGAAATGATACAGACACATCAACTAGGAGACTACTGGAGGTAATCAGGTGAGGGGGATGGCTTGGACTGAAGAAAAAATGGAAGCCACTTGTGGTTTTAAAGCAGGTGAGTGGTTAGGTGTGTGTGTGTGTGTTAGTGTGTGTATGTGTGTGTTTAGAATAATAACAATTAAGTCCAGCATCTAATATTGAATATCAGATACCATGTCATCTTATCGCACACAAGTAACATCTGAAAACTTGTCACCTTTCCCAGTATGACATAGTATACATGATAATACAGTGAGCATAACCCATGAGAAATTAAATTTTAACTCCATGGATTGTCTTTTGTTCTGGCGGGGAGGGGGTGGTGTTTTGTTTGTTTTTTGTTTTGTTTTGGGGTTTTTTTTGTTTTGTTTTTTTTTTACAAATTTTAGTCAGTCACAGCAGTTAACTCTACCATACAAATCACTTATTTTAGAAGGATGATCTCTCTCTCTCTCACATACACACACATGCACACGCACACACACACACAGATTCCCAGGTTCTTTGAAGTGTGCTATATTGAGTCACAGAAACATTCCATATAGTCTATCCAGAAATCACCTGACTTTGCCTTCAATACTTCCAAGCAGAGCAAAGCAAGGTTAAATGCCAAATGTCCTATAAATCATCTTATCATAAGCACTTCACTTTTGTCAAAATATCAGATGACTCAGACACCTGACTAAATAAGTGTACTGATTAGTATGGATATAAGAAATAACTTCTGAAGCCATTCCAGAATTAAATGTGACTATGTGCTTTGGAGTATGAATAATGGTAATGTGATTTTATTCCTCTAGCAAAAATCTTGTTCAGTGAACTTTTTTCTTTTTTTTTGAGAGTGCGGGCAGGAAAGGAGGGGTAGAGGAAGAGAGAGATTCTCAAGCAAGCTCCACGCCCAGCACGGGGCCTGACATGTGGCTTGATCTTACAACCCCAAGATCATGACCTGAGCCAAAATCAAGAGTTGGACACCTAACCAGCTGAGACACTCAGGCGCTCCTTGTTTGATGAACTTCTGATCACTGTTCCCAAATAGGCCCATAATCAAAAATATGCTTACCCTCTTTAAAGCATCCTGTATCACACCAGACTTCTCCTTTAGCAGGTCTACAACACAAAGGGCCTCATCTTCAGAAAACATCATAGTCTTCAAGGACAGAAGAAAATCTTTAAATTTCACTTCAGCATTTTCTTTAAAAAAAAAATAAAGAGTTGGCATTTAAGAAACACAAGTAATAACTTCAGCAAAGGTAAGCATCAAGAATTCTTGACCCAAAAAGTCAATAACCAAGAGAAAACAGATTTACATTTCAGGTCAAACAATAAAAATGTTCCAGTCAAGAGAGAAAAAAGTGTTCATCATCTTTAATATACTATGGAATAATTACATTAACTAAAAACTTGGTCAAATTGTGGAATACTTTAAAGTGCCAGTATGCCCTCACTTTAAAAACATTCAAATGTCTAGAATGCTAGTATCTATACCAGATATGGTCACAAATCTTCTCATTCAACCTTAATACTCATGATATATAAATCAAATTTTACAGATGAAAAAATAACCACAAAGATAATTATAAAAAGGAAATCTGATTTTATAAATATCAAATAAATACAAACAATCTTGACATTTAAAAAAAAATCCATGCATCGGGGTGCCTGGGTGGCTCAGTCGTTAAGCGTCTGCCTTCTGCTCAGGTCATGATCTCAGAGTCCTGGGATCAAGCCCCATATCGGGCTCCCTACTCGGCAGGAGGCCTGCTTCTCCCTCTCCCACTCCCCCTGCTTGTGTTCCCTCTCTCGCTGTGT